CATTCAGATTCAATCTGATCAATTCAAATTCAATTCCTGCTGGCATAAGATTTATCCCATAGTACCCCCTCACGTCAGTTATTGACGACATGGGACGGAATCTGTTGTCATAATTTCAGAAAGTGTAGAAAATGCACAAATCGAACCGCCCCAAAGCCCAAAACTACCTTTATTCGCTCTAGACATCCTGTCCATGACCCTAGTACCTAAAATTAACCATTTTTAGGAAGCGTAGGAAATTCACTTCAACTACACGTCCCAAACCCTAAAATTACCTAATATTAACCCTAGACATCCTATCCCTGACCCCAAAACCTAAAATTAACCTTCAACCCTGATCCGTAATATTAATTACTGACCCCCAACTCAAAGACCCCTATATTTTGCGTCTCAAACTAAATGCCTGGTGCGTCAATAAATGACGTGACTGGGGTACCGACGTGTCAAAATAAGACGCAGAGGGAACTTTGGAAAAGAGTCAATATGTGAGGACTTAGTGAGAATGTGTTAAACTGACACACACAGAACTATGAATTTTACAGATAACGAGCTAGGGATTGGTGTGATGGTGGCTGACAGTCATCCTTACTTGTACTCTGAGTGCTATTCGATCATGTGATATCTGTATTTTTAAACATTGCTATTAAATGAATTATTAGATTCAACCCTGTTTGTCTGTTAGCAAAATATCTCATGAACCACTGGATAGATTTGAATAAAACCTTTAGAACATAATCACCAGATGTTCATCTACAACTGATTAACTTTCAGAGTTAACCCATTTCAAGCTTATTGGCACAGCTAAACAACAGTAGTAAACACAAAAATGATGATAATTGTGTGAATTTTACAGCTATTAAGCTAAGGTTTGGTGTGATAGTGGCTGACAGTCATCCTAACTCATAATCTGAGTGCTAATGGATCATGTGACGCCTATTTTTAAAACGTTGTCATTAACTTGCATTCAGCCCTGTTTGTCTGTTAGCAAAATATCCCATGAACCACTGGATAGATTTTAATAAAACTTTTAGAAACTAATCACAGGATGTTCTTCTATAAGAGATTAATGTTTGGAGTCAACCGTATTTACGATGGTCACCACAGTTGGTCGACCTTAGCCAACTCAAAAATTACTTTTACAAATAATCAGCTAAAATTTAATGTGGTAGAAATCTTGCAGTATTGCATGATATTACACATAAAACCATTTACAAAGTTTGACCAAAACAGATATAACTTCATCCCTTTTTTTTATCATAAGTTGGTCTTGGTCTAAAACTCTGGCATAAGAGGCGGTGGGCGACATGCATTGCTTCAGGGAATGCCAGGCCTTTAATTTGAACCATGCTTTTATCATCAGAATGAACTTTGTTAAAATCTTGTGTTCTTCCTGCACATGTTTGATATTTGCAGACTGCGTGTGTACTCATTTGCACCACTGACTTAGTAATTTGTGTTAATTAGAGCTGTTTGGAGAACTTTGTGGTTAATTTTGGTAAAGCGCCTGTAAAAACTTTCCTTCCTCACGGAAAAAAACAAACAAACAAAACAATCACTTCCCATGACCCATGTGGCAAGCGCACACGGACAAAATCACACACACCTATGAAGCGCCGCATCGCATCTTCCACCGTTTCCTCCCAGCCTCTGTTTGCTCGCAGGAAACGTGGCAACTACTCTGTTTTAAGTCTCTGCCACTGCTTGGCAAAGCGTGAGAAAGCAGCGAGCATGATGGGTAATTGCCATTCTGCACGCACTGCCGATAGGAGCGTATTTTTATGAGGTGACCGAGGGAGGGGAGAGATGGGGGGACACACCAAAATGTTCCTCCTTATTCTTGAAAATCCTTTCTAGACTCACCAAGAGTTTCAAAGTTTTCCAAAACAAAAAGCTGGTAATAAAACTACTTTTCTATTTGTTAAATGAGCTCTAAGTCCAGGACTGCTGATGAAAACCAGAGTTTTAAAGTAACTAAGTACAAATACTTTGTTACTGTACTTAAGTAGAATTTTTGGGTATTTGTACTTTACTTGAGTAATTATTTTTCAGTCTACTTTTTACTTATCCTTACACTTTTTAAAAAAGACAAGAAGTAGAAAGTCGTTGCTTTTATTTCATTTTTGCTTGTTTTCATTGCAGCTTGTTGTTGTAAAAAATAAAAACTATCCATATAAACTGAGCCTCCTAGATAGAGTGAATTTAACTGTGGTTGAATGAGAAGTATAAATATATAAAACTCTGATAGCGTATTAGTTTGTACAC